GACTTTACTATTAGTCAGCGTAGAAGAATCTGAATCAGAAAGAGCTGATCTGGTCAAAAGGTGCTACACGTAAACAAACATAAAGTTGACATAAATAAATTTAGAAATATATAAATATGGAATGAACAAATGCAAGTTATACAAGAGTAATAAAAGAATAGAGAAAAATAATACAACTATTTGCAGAGAAAGAACAAAGTGGCAGATATTTACATGTGCATTACTGTGTTGCAACAGAATATTGTGAACATAAATATAAAAATACAGCACAACAGTGATTAACAATTAACAAAATATATGTGCAATGTGCCAGGTTTGGCCATGATATGTAATGAAATAATATTTACACAGAGACATTTGCATTATTTGAAAGAGGGGAGTGTCAGTGAGGGACCTAGGACTTGGTGAGGAGCTGTTTTTGTGGGCAGAGTCCTATTATTATTATTATTATTATTATTATTATTATTATTATTATTATTATTATTATTATTATTAATATAAACATTATTATTATAAACAATGCTATGAATATCTGTACCATTATTCATTCAGTGTAGTGTTGTGTTGTGTAGGCTGCTCCTCTGCTTTCTCTGCGGTGTCCGGCCTGGTGACAAATCAATACATAATTAAATAAATAATGTTTACGTTCTGTCTGTCAGCAGTCAGCGCAGCAGCTGGGCCAATCATGTGATGAGACGCACTTTGTAAAGCACTTTGGGTGAAAGCTCCATAAACAAATGCAGTCAGACAGCCAGCAGGGGGCAGCACAGGAAAACAGAACTGCGTCAGCAACAAAGACACAAAGTGAGCGTCCTGCAGAGTTTACATGTGATAAACTGTTTCACTGCATCTGTCCGTCTGCACGTAAACAAGAAACTTCAGTTCCTGCAGGTTATTTTATCTTGTGATGAACAAAGATTGTAGAGCTGATTTCTGCAGCTGCTGCTGAGTGAGTGAGACAGAAGGAGACAACTTTTAATTTGAAAGACAATAGAAATGATGACTTATTGAGCATCAAGACATATCAGTCTGCAGCTAAAAACAACAAAGCTCATGAAAAGATGTCAAAATAAATAGAAAAGTAGGTGAAACATTTGATTGCATGTACACGTATAAAGCAAGATAGTATCTATATGCAAGTCAAATGTTTCTGCAAACTGTCACCAAGAATACAAAAGTGTGAGGAGTGCAGAGTGCTGGAATAAATGTTGAAGGTTGAACCTGACTATCAGAGTAAACAATAAGCTGCTCAGTAAAGATGGAGGTTGGAGGACAGGAGGCAGCTGCTCCTCTGTTGTAACAAACTCCTCCTACTTTATTATTCCAGAGAGGTTACTAACGAAACCTCTTTGTAGACTAACTTGGCTCACAGCCACGTTAAGTCCTGAAGCGAGAAACTAAACATAGAAACAGCATCATGTTTCCTTCTTACAGAAAATGAATCATTCAGTTCCTGATCAGCTCTGAGTTCAACAGCAGCTGAAACACTTTGCCTCCACATTTGGGATTTAATCTTCATCATGGAGTCACATGAGAAATACTGCAGACTGTATCATGAGGGAGGAGACGAGTTTATCCTGCTGCTGCTCACAGACACAAAGTTAAACTGAGCAAAACCTTTAGTTTAAGCTTCTTATGTACTGCAACACTCTAAGGTCCAAATACTTAAGTAAACCTGTCTACTTTGCCCTTCCTTAGCTGGAACTTGACTTAAAATAAATAACAAATCAGTTACTTCTTAACATGGAACAGCATTCAATGAACCAGCAATGAAAATGGAACAGTGTCTTTCAATTAAATGCATTACTATTAAGCAGCTGCACACTGCAATATAACTTGTGACTCAATGAATAAATGCATAAACAAAGTGAATCATGCTTTCCACTTTTTCTGGTACATGCTATACATGTCACGATTTTCAGAATGAGTGCTAGAAGGAGTGTGAGCCCAAATGCAAGACACTAGGAGCGGAGATAGAGTTGAGGGATTTTATTAACACTTCTTGAAAACACAGGGCGTAAAACAACACAACTGAGCGTAAACACACTACAATGACTGGACAGAGACTGAACAGAAACACCAGGCATATACACACAGGGACTAATGAGCAGAGCGGGAGCAACACAGGTGACAGGGATCAAGGCTAACGAGGCAGGCAGGCAAAGTGATGACTGTGGGAACAGACATAACCTAGGTTACTGAACACTAAACAGACATAGACTAAGACACAGAACCAAAATGCATAACTAAACCTAGGATACATGACAGACAGGTGCAAGGTGAGCTAAACAGAACCTGCGAATGAACAATGAAATAAACAAGGCTAAACAGAGGAAACACAAGACAAGGAACAAAACTCCAACAGAAAACATGGACCATATAAGGAAAATACCAAAACATCACTAAACACTAGCTGACAGATAACAATAACTAGATGAATAATAACCCAGAATAAATAACAGATACCAAAATGATCAATAAGTAATCACAGTGAACTAGACTGAACAGAACAGACCTAAAATGTAGATGCAAAACCCAAATCTTCAGAGTTCATCAGAGTGGATAAAGGAGACAAGATAACAGGACAACACAGACAACAGACTAGGATACAAAAACAGATTAACACAGAACCAAACAAAACGGCAGAGCTCACCATACACAGACTGGACACAGGACTAGAGACAAGACAGAACCCCAAAACACAACAGACCAAAATAACAGATAATCAACCAACCAAAACTCACAGAGTGCTAAACTTAAACATGGCTGACAGGCAGAATGTGACAATACCAGTATGCTTTGTGTCCCGTCTAGTCGAGGTTCTTTCTATTTGGCTTGGTGAGATACATGGCAGGTTGAGCTAGGCTGCTGTCCTCTGTCTTTACACACTTCAGTTGTTTTTGACATTGTCCTGGTGCTGTGTGCAGGGACGTGCACAGACATTTTGGTGGGCAGGGGCTCAAGTGAAAAAAAGGGCCTTTTTTTTTAAACAAGACAAATATATTAACTCAACAACATTTTTACTTTTCTACAAAACAATCAGTTCACACAGAGACCACGGTCTTCTTTGGTATTCACTAGGTTTATCACAGGAGCAGGCGACAGCAAAGCAAACTGGGCCACAATGTGCCTGTTTTCTTTGCTACTAGTTTTATATTTAGAACAAATTACAGTTTCATTAATAATTTGTTTGTTTTTCACAAGGCAATAAATCGTTTCAATTCTTCGTTGTTGGAACACATAACACTTCACATAAATCTTCACAGTAAACTGTGGCATTGGGCTGCAGGCATAATTAATATAAATGTTATTAAATACTTTTACTTTTTGTTTCACAAGCAAGATGCCAAATGAGTAAAGATAACCTTCAGCTTCACACAGCCAAGCAACAGACTACTGAATTGATCAATTACTTTATTATTGTTTCTATTATATTAGATTTACCATGCGCGCACACACACACACACACACACACACACACACACACACACACACAATTACTGATGGTTAGTTTCACATTTGAGGGAGGGCTGTCTGTATTATATAAGGATCTATCAGCATACAACAAACTAACAGAATAGAGAGTTATCAGATGAGGAGTTTTCTTCGTGTTACTCTAATGTAAATAAAACTTCAAGAATGCACCTTTAGATGGTGTTGGTTTAAAGCCTAATAACCTCGGTCTATTTGCATCTGTAGATTTATTCTATATTAACCAAAACAAGCTAATCTGCATATTTACACAGCACATCTCAGAGGAAAATACTCTTGATGCAAGTCATTAACTGGGGAAGTTCTGTGGTGTCTTTATCACATTTACCTGCAGTGACTTGTCAAATGTGTGCAAATTGGCGTATTTTAATTAGTTAACGCCTAATTTGCATATCAATGTGGCGATTGTGATGACGTTATTAGACACAAATGTCACTGTGTTCACCTGTAGTGTCTCCATCAGTACATTAGGTTGTATGGCCTTTTTTTTTTTTTTGCCTTAGCTAAACTTAACCTAAGACATTGGCCTATATTGTCTTTTGTCTTTTGTTTAATTGGCGGTAAACTGGAGGCACTGGTAGTTTAGTCTTTTGTTCATCACCACTCACCTCCACACAAGCCAAGAAAAACACTGCTGGGAGAGAAGCTGTCTGTCTGTGAGCTGTGAGCATCAATAACTCCAAAGTAAAAAGTAATCCAGATAAAAGGGCACTTTCTCTTGAAGAAGAAAAAAGGCAGGTGCTGAAGTCCCTTTTGATGGCTATGTGTGCACGTGCCTGGTCTGTTGTCGTGTTCATCAGTTTCTACCTGCCCACAGTCACGAGGGACGACTGCCACATCCTGATTCAGACATGGGGGATTGTGAAGTTAAAATGAGCTCTGCGCTTCTTCATACCACACTCTGCCCTTTAAATGTCGTGCCATTTTGTTCTCTGATCACAGGGACAGGCCCTGGCAGGCATATTGAGACACTTTCATCTCTCAGCTACAGATTAAAGGAAGGTGAATGATTGTTTTTGACACTTGGTTACATCTGATCTGAAAGAAAAGTCAGACTGGACTGAGAGTTTCTCTGAGGACATAACACTTGCCTTAGTGTAGCCTGATACCTGGAAGCTCAGGTGTTTTTTGAGGTTGAGGTTTAATTTCCAGCTCAGATCTGCATCAACCGGTTTAACAGGTCTGAACTCAATTACTTTACTTAAGGAGAATGATAAGTATGTGTAGTTGAGCATTTTTATTTAATCAGCTGCAGTTACAGGTTCCTCTGCCAATTAAGATTTTACATAAAACATGATGCACTCAGAGATAATCTTCCAACATCAGGAAAATCACTGTACCATATATGATACAACCATCTGAGTAGGGTATTATCATAATGACTTTTACTTTTCATACATTTATGTTTATTTTATTGTTAAAAATGAGTAACAAGTTGAAAAGAGCTCAGTGGTGTGTTGTGGACTCGATGCACTTACTGTTGCAGGTAATGACATAGGAATCAACAGTTCAGGTTCACATACAGTTTATTATTACTTTTAGATTGACAGAAACAGAAAGTCACAGTTAGAACACAAAAAGGTCTTCATGAAATTTTACATAATGCAATGGAGTTACAAGAAACCATCAACTCACACAAAACAGAACCTGCCAGTTTTCAATATACATTTATATACAATATAAAAATAGAAAAGCAACTTCAACAGCTTTAAAAGTTAAATATTTAGACAACCTAAGTTGATATACAGCCTATTGCAATATAAATTTCAACATATAATGCTGTAAATAAACATTTCAAAAGATAAAAGGGTTTAAATAAATGTTTAGTGTGTGAATAAATCCTAAATTGGAACCAGAACCCTTAAAAATCGGGGGTCAGTGCGCATGTGTGGAGGTAGTGTCTATGGGTGTGAGAGTGTGTAGTGGCAGAAGAGGAACTTGCTGTAGAGACAGAGCCTAAACTTCACCGGTGTTGTGCCGAATTGCCCGCACCTGGCAGGACATTCGAATCATTCATCACCATTGATGAACCACACAAAGAATATTATATAGTTTTTAAATAGGATGAATTGAAATAGATGAAGCGAGGAGCCGCGACGTACACGCAGCTGTCGGCTGCAGGGCATCCATGCAAAACTCTGCACAAGACCGGTGAATGGCGAGCAGAGGAAAACGGGAAAACAATAAGTCTCAGTTTAGCTGGAAATGTACAGTGTAAGTTACAGCAGAGACTCGTGAATAGAGACTGCAGCTCTGCAGCTTCTCCGGATGAAAGCAGAGCTTCCTTGTGTTAACCCCCCACCCCCGCACGCAATGTCTGTGCAAAAACATACACATGACTCGACCATCAGACAACTATAGGCAAGACTCGACAATTCTGATTCAACTATATAAATCCTTCATCGAGGACAGCCCTATTATAGAGAAACCAGAGGAAAGGATAAGTTATTTTTAGTCAATATTTCTTTTATTAACTCAGTAATTTGATGTTTTTCAGTTTCAAGTTTATATGGTGTGTTGTAATGAATTCCAATGACTAAATTTCCAATTAATCATTTACTTCATTACTCATTTCCCAGCATGCTTTGCATTAAGGTTGAAATGCTTATGAAGTTTTAAATATTTTCCTAAGTGTACAACAGTAGAAACAAACCAGCTGTCCTATTTAGTGATGATCCCGTCTGTAGATTCTCCGCAGATTTGAGACTGTGGCTCTGAGTTGCATCGGGTGCTTTGACCACAGGTCTATTCTTAATGTCAGATGAGGTCCTGGCCTAGTTTTGTTTTCAATTTTCTAGAGTCGTCTGTTCATGAAGGTCCCTGTGATACATCAGTGCTGAGGTCGGGGCTGGAAGCCACCAATGACATTTACTCTCTTTACTGTGTCAAAGTCGTTTTACAGTCTGCTCTTTGATTACTATTTTAAAAATCTATAATTTTACATGTACCTAATTATGTTTTATACATCCTGCAGCTGCTGTGGAGTTTATATTGTCTCTAGATCTCTGTGCTGCCTTATTAATGCTTTATTCTGCTGTTTAAGTAGCAGCTTATTAAATGGAGCTTAATGAAGTGTGTTGCACCTGCTGCAGTGTCCATAGCTCTTTTTATTTACTGTCAGGCAGTTTTGTTTCATTGTCAGAGTTTTGGCTCTTTTCTGGTAAGAAAGGTAGCAATCTATGAACAGAAAAAATATTTGTTTGCACTGATGAGCCAGACCATCATGGTGGAAAACCCTCAAATGCCAGATTAACACATTCACACCCACAGAAAGAATCAAAATCAAGTTGAACATATGAAATGTGGTGGAAAGGGATCTGTGACAAGTCAGAAGAACGGATCGTTCACAGCTTCATCATCAGCAGGCTGTTCTGGTTTCTTGTCTTTTATATTTCTGGACAACCAATCCGACAGCAACTAAACAAAGCAGAACAAAAGCTGCTCCCAGTCCATAGTAATGTCTGTAGTTTCCCTCCATGACGTCTCCGCTGTTGGACCCTGAAGATCAAAGTGCATATTAGTCAGGAAATGAGTGAACAGTGGAACAGCCTCCATTTACTCTTCTATATCTTCTATATTCCTCATGTTTGACTCTCAGAATCAACATGGAATAAACTGCAGCTACAACATGGCACACAGACACACTGACCTCCACAAACTCACCTGAAACCTCCAGCTGGTAGATTCTGATTGGCTCAGTCTCAATGACAGCTTTCTCACTTGACTCACTTGCTGCAACTCGGCACTCATATGTTCCAGCGTCGTTGCTGCTCACGTTCTTCAGAATTAAAGACACGTCTCCGTCCTTCAGCTCTCTGTCCACCAGCTGCACCCGGCCTTTAAATGATGGGTGCTGGTAGGTTGGATCTGAGAGTCGACTTTTGTAAAGGAAGACGTACTCTGGCTGCAGGTCAGGTCTGCTCCATTCTACAGCTCTGATGGAGGCTTCACCAGCCTGACATGGCAGAATGACGTCATCTCCAGGTTTCACTCGTACCACATCTAAAAACAATAAAAACATCCAGAGAGAAAAAGTAATTACATTTCAAAAGGACTCCACAGGACGATACAGTGAGAACATCTTTGTTTAAACAGAAGGCCTCTTCACACCTGTGATCATGGGAACATTCAATAATTAGTTACATGATTTTGCTCCCACAGTGTTTAGACTTGTTGTGAAACATGAAGCTGTGTCAAAATGCTGATGTGATTAAATGGCAACATTCACACAGCCACTCAGTGACGTCTCTTTAAATTCAGAGATAAATGAGAAGTCGTACCAACTTGTGACAATATGACTTTAAAGTACTTCCTTTTTAAAACTAATAAGCATCATTTGCTAAAGACAAAGAGAATGCACTAATTATAAATCCCATGTAAACCTCTAAGCACTTCGTTTTATTTTTGCTTTTGCTTGGGCTGATTGGGAATAGCAATAAGGTCAGGCTTCCGTTCTGCTCTGTCAGGGAGGAATTCAGCGTGGCACAGACGTGAGAACACATGCAGTACACCAGATCAAGGGACACCAAAGTGTCCGGTGCTGGTATTGTAGTAAGGACAGGGAGGAAGTGGAGGACAGCCAATGCAGTAATGCCGGCAGAAGTTCGGCTGAAGCACTAGCGCCTCTGGGGAGTGGGGCACAGGGCAGGACTGGACTTGGGTGCAGAGCATCACCCCAGTATGACACAGCAAGCGGGAAGGAGAAGCAGATGTTGTTCTTCAGGGGAGGAAGAGTGAGCAAGCAGAACAGTAGCAATGAGAAAGCAGGATGGATAAAGTGGGAACAGGCTATGGAGTGGCCTGTTACCTGGCCGGACATGTGGAGATGAAACCTGCGCAAGTTCTTGATTCTGGGGGTCTACGATTTACATTTACATTTACTCATTTGGTAGACGCTTTTATCCAAAGTGACTTACATTTGAGGATGTCCTTCCCATCCCATCTAACACACTGAGCAAACATCCTATGCAGTTGTCAAAAGGAGCTGGGTGATGGGCATTATCGCTGGAGACATGGCCAGGTCCTCAAGTCCATTGCAGAGGCAATCTACAAGGGGATTAACGACTGCAGATATACCCACTAAACAGCCAAGACGATAGTGTTTGTGAAGGAGGGAGACCGGCCACGGAAGAAAAACTCAAGAGCTGCTCTGTTGGTTTTCTTGCCATGGCACAAGACAGGGTGATGACACTTCCCAGGATGTGTGATGGGTTCTTCCTAAAATCCACAACCATCTCCTCTGTCTGAAGAGAGTTATGCTCGTGGTCGTTCTGACTACAACAGGTCACTAAATTGTCAGCCTCCCACCTCTAGGTGGACTTTACCCAACCAGATATGAGCTAAATGATGGTTGTGTCATTTGCAGACTTGAAGAGCTTGACACACTGGTGACTTGAGGTGCAGCTGTTGATGTATAGGGAGGAGGGAAGGGATGGTCCGAGAGTCAGACACGTTTTCCAACTTCATGTGCTGCCTCCTTTCAGACAAAATTACTGTGATCCACCTTAAAAGCAAACCTCATGCTTCACCTTATTAAATCTAAAACTTAAAACGTGTAGTTTCATCAACTGAACAATTCTATTCAAGGCACTGTCTGTGGAGTGGAGGCTTTTAACAAACACAACATCCCTGTGTTTTTTAAACCCAAGAACACACTAAGACAGATGCTGGTCCACCCCAAAGACCACAAACACAAGAAAAGCAATCTAGTGTATGCGGTCCAATGCAGTGAGGAATGCACAGACCTGTATATTGGGGAGACTAAACAACCACGACACAAACGCATGGCTCAACACAGAAGGGCCAACTCCTCAGGTCAAGACTCTGCTGTCTACTTACATCTGAAGGACAGAGGACACTCGTTTGAGGACCACCAGGTGCACATTTTAGACAGAGAAGATGGATGGTTTGAAAGAGGTGTCAAGGAAGCATCTACACCAGGGTTGAGAAGCCGTCACTGAACAGGGGAGGGGGTCTACGCCACCACTTATCCCCCACTCACAATGCTGTCCTTTCATCACTTCCCAGGAAACTCAACAAACGTAACCTATTGGCCTCAGGTGAAGATACCAACGATGGTCGTTCAGTCTTGGCCACAGGTAGTCGTAACGACCATAATGACAACAGCCAGGAGCACTAACGAACCAGCGGTATTAACGATCCTGGCAAAAAACCCCACTGAGGTTAAATAGCTGAGTTTCCCTACCAGTCTCTCTTGGATGAGGGACGAAACTTCTTCTAGTATCTTAAACCAAGTCCAGTTGCCATTGACTTCTCACAATCTGCCAGTTCTCTTTTCTGCCCTCTCCATATCACTCCCACTTTTCATGAACCAACCACTCACAGCCTAGATGGGCAGGACGTTGACAAAATGTTGACAGCAATCCAATACCAGCTGACACGCATACCAACATGTGAATGGGGAGTACAGGGAGAACCGGTTTTTTTGCACTTGCCACAAGCACTAAACAAAAGTGATTATTCTTTCAAAACTGTGCACTTGATCTAAACAGTCTGACAGTGGGTATATTCTAAATAATTGACAAAGTTGAATACGTCACTTATCCTTGACAAGCCCAATATTGATCTATCAGAAAGTACATTTAAATATCCTCCATCAGCAACCGCTTATCCTGCGTACAGGACATTTAAATATGTTTACACTTAACATAAAGCACCACCTAAATTTGAAGTATTTCATGCGAAACAATTCCTACATTGTTCATTCATGAATCTATTAACAATCAGCTCATCTTTACCAGAAGCTGCTTGAGATAGAAGGACCAAAAGGAACACGAGCTTATCCATCGGAGAGGAGGTGTGTTCATCTGCTGCTGTTACTGCGTTCTGTAATCACACTGCACTGGTAGAAAATGATCGGAACTAGATGGCAGACAGTAAGAGGTACTGTGTGGTGCTCCTCCCTGACTGGGCGGATCTTAAAGAAAGATTTGTGGGATAACGGGAAGTCACAAAATGAAACAAAGTAATTCAGGGCTTCTGCATTCTGCAGTGTGGGTCAAAGATAAACACATTAATAACATAAATATGTAACAAATATAACCAATGAATCTATTTTTCTTATGTTTAAAGAGTCATATTTCTTTAGTGATCCATTATGAATGATGGGATTCTGGTACTGTAAAGTTTGAAAATGTCACTCAGTATTGTTAAATATCATGCAACATCAGTTCATACTTACACTGAACAAAAAAATAAATGCAAAACTTTTGTTTTTGCCCCCATTCATCAAGAGCTGAACTTCATGATCTAAGACTTGCTCTATGTACACAAAAGGCCTATATTTCTCAAATATTGTTCACAAATCTGTCGAAATTTGTGTTAGTGAGCCAAGATCATCCCTCCACCTCACAGGTGTGGCAAGTCAAGATGTTGATGAGACAGCTTGGGAGTTGCACAGGTGTGCTTTAGGCTGGCCACAATAAAAGGCCACTCCAAAATGTGCAGTTCCATCACATAGCACAATGCCACAGATGTCTCAGGTTCTGAGCGAGCGTGCAATTGGCATGCTGACTGCAATGTCCACCTGTGTGTTACTCCAGTGATGAATTACACTCACCTAAAGGATTATTAGGAACACCTGTTCAATTTCTCATTAATGCAATTATCTAATCAACCAATCACATGGCAGTTGCTTCAATGCATTTAGGGGTGTGGTCCTGGTCAAGACAATCTCCTGAACTCCAAACTGAATGTCAGAATGGAAAAGAAAGGTGATTTAAGCAATTTTGACCGTGGCATGGTTGTTGGTGCCAGACGGGCCGGTCTGAGTATTTCACAATCTGCTCAGTTACTGGGATTTTCACGCACAGCCATTTCTAGGGTTTACAAAGAATGGTGTGAAAGGGGGAAAACATCTAGTATGCGGCAGTCCTGTGGGCGAAAATGCCTTGTTGATGCTAGAGGTCAGAGGAGAATGAGCCGACTGATTCAAGCTGATAGAAGAGCAACTTTGACTGAAATAACCACTCGTTACAACCGAGGTATGCAGCAAAGCATTTCTGAAGCCACAACACGCACGACCTTGAGGCGGATGGGCTACAACAGCAGAAGACCCCACCGGGTACCACTCATCTCCACTACAAATAGGAAAAGAGGCTACAATTTGCAAGAGCTCACCAAAATTGGACAGTTGAAGACTGGAAAAATGTTGCCTGGTCTGATGAGTCTCGATTTCTGTTGAGACATTCAGATGGTAGAGTCAGAATTTGGCGTAAACAGAATGAGAACATGGATCCATCATGCCTTGTTACCACTGTGCAGGCTGGTGGTGGTGGTGTAATGGTGTGGTGGATGTTTTCTTGGCACACTTTAGGCCCCTTAGTGCCAATTGGGCATCGTTTAAATGCCACGGCCTACCTGAGCATTGTTTCTGACCATGTCCATCCCTTTATGGCCACCATGTACCCATCCTCTGATGGCTACTTCCAGCAGGATAATGCACCATGTCACAAAGCTCCAATCATTTCAAATTGGTTTCTTGAACATGACAATGAGTTCACTGTACTAAAATGGCCCCCACAGTCACCAGATCTCAACCCAATAGAGCATCTTTGGGATGTGGTGGAACGGGAGCTTCGTGCCCTGGATGTGCCAACATTTCTAAAGAATGCTTTCAGCACCTTGTTGAATCAATAGAATTAAGGCAGTTCTGAAGGCAAAATGAGTCAAATACAGTATTAGTATGGTGTTCCTAATAATCCTTTAGGTGAGTGTATATCCATGTCATCCTCCGGGACGACCTCCTGAACTTTCTTACCCCCCTGACTTTTGTTTTGTTTTTTCTGGCCCTCCTCGTGTCCTCCCTCTGGCCAACTTTTGTCCTTTCTTTTTGGTTGAATGTCTGGTGACGTTTGTCGGTTGGGGGGTAATGTCACGATCCTGTCCTGAGTTCTCTGTATGCTGTTTCTTTCTGCCTGTCTCTTAATTGTTGGTTCTTGTTCTCTGCGTGTTATGTCTATTCTCCCAGTAATCTGCCTGCCTGCCTGTCTAAGATCCCCAATATCTGGGCTGAAATAACCCAGAAATTAGTTGGTCCGTTTTTAACCCAGGAGTCAAAAATAACTTGGATTACTATGCCAGTATAGCCTTATTTCAGAAAATAAAACTTTGTTTTACATTATATCTGTCACAGTGTGGTGCATCAGAAGATGAAGAGGAGGAGTCCAAAGTTCCAATTCAAACATTTTACTAATAAAGTAACTCCAAAAGGTACAGACAGTCAGGATGTACACACACTAAACAAGACTACAAACTAGAACAGCCAAAGACTGACTGAACTGAAGGAACTAAATACTAACACAGATGAACATTGATTAACAGGTGGAACAGATGATGATGATGGTAATGAACTCAGGTGATGCAGATTAACTAAATGACAGAAACCATGGAAAACAGAACAGAGGAAGACGTGACTAGGGGTGACTGTGACAATATTACACACTTCAAGCATTTTGACATTTTTATTGCATATAATTCAATTAAACTCTATATAAAAAATTGGAAAATAAACAACTCTCAAACATTCTCTCTCAAAAAATCGACAACATTCAATAACTGGGTTGAACTTAAGGCTTAAAGTCTTTGAAAAACATTGGTTGTGTCATGTCATGTGTGACTTTACACGGACTTTAAACTAGTTAAATGTACATGGCAACCACAGAATTACCACGGCTAACGTTAGTCTCAATGTAGCAACTAAGCCATGGTCATTTTTTCACTCGCTTTTGTACTCATTTGACTTGAATACACAACAAAGTTGCACCGAAGAAGCACAGGCCAAAACGGATCGAGCGTGAAGCGACGGTCATTTCAAATGACTGCGGGGGGTTGCTATACAGACAACCTGTCTGTGTCATACACATCATACCTTGGCCTGTTCCCCTTCTCCCAGGGTTCTGGCAGGGTAACAACAAGCAAGAAGTGCGTATGAAGGGGAATTAAAAAATGTTTTCATGTAAGATATTTATTGGAATTTATTAGGTTTATATTTGGGTGCACAAACTTCTACAGCTTTTTAGTGTTTGTTTAACCTTTGGTGCCTGAACACACTGATTCATTTGCTCACATTTCTCTACTTGAACAGCTCCACTGCTTTTACTTACTATTGCTGTGTTTGGGGATGAAAAACATCAAATGTCCCTAAAAATATATAATCCACTGTATTTCTTTTGACTACAAGGCTGTTCTGTTTTATAGAAAGTCCAGATGTCTTTTTGCATGTAAAACCTCAAACCAACCTGAGTGTGATTTCTCTTTAGTTCTGACCTCGCTGCTGAGCTGCACAACAAACCAAGGTGAGCAAACTTCTTCTGTCACAGCTGAAAAGTTATTCACTCCCTGATAGAACAGTTAGTGTTTAGGACAGTGTTTGGGGAGGGAAACTTTACCACTTTACAAATACAATAAAACACAGTGCTGCAGACTAGACAGCCAAAGCTAAAGCTGCTGGTATAAAAATGTTATTCAGAATCTGCACAGCATGATGAAGCAGACACCAGAGAAGTGGAAACACCAAATTATATGCACATTATCAGTGCTGTTTCTTTTGAGGGTCTATAGTAACAAAGCATGGATTGGTACAAGAGATCAGGTCACAGAAAACTATTTACAGGTAACTAACATACAACCAGATCTTCTTCTCTGTGTTTAATGCACCAGCTTTGAGATTCAGATTCCTTCTCTAAAAATCAGCACCCGAAACACAGAGCAGTTGTAAATGTTTTCAGTGAGAAAGTAATATTAGGAATAAGAACAAAATATTTCTAAAAATTGAAATTGGTCTACTCTAACCACATCTTTCTGTCTCTTCCTCCAGCCTCTCTGACTGTGAGTCCCAGCAGCCCTCAGTTTTTTAAAGAAGAGTCTGTCTCTCTGAGCTGTGAGGAGGACGACAGCTCTGCTGGATGGACGCTGAGGAGGAACACAACCAAACAAAACAGGGCTCAGTGTGATGAGTGGGGAGAACCAGCTGGTTCTTCCTGTAACATCAGTCTGACAGTCACATGGGACAGTGGAGTTTACTGGTGTGAGTCCAGAGAGGGAGCAACCAGTAACACCATCAACATCACTGTCACTGGTAAGATCAGACTGTGGAGTTAGTGTTGATGAAGCTGTGTGTAAATGATGAAATGCTGTAGTTTGTCTCTGTGTTGAGGTGGACCAGTGATCCTGCAGAGTCCTGTCCTCCCTGTGATGGAGGGACATGATGTCACTCTGCACTGTAAAACAAAGACCCCTCCCTCCAACCTCCCAGCTGGTTTCTATAAAGATGGCTCCCTCATCAGGACTGAGCCTACAGGTCACATGACCATCCACCATGTTAACAAGTCTGATGAAGGCCTCTACAAGTGTAACATCAGAGGTCGTGGAGAGTCTCCATCCAGCTGGATCTCTGTCACAGGTGAGGAGCTCAAAGATAATTCTCAAAATGACCTTGTTTGTTTTCTACATTGAGTTCAGCAGGTTTCAGGACAGCAGAGATGATTCATGATGTGACAAAATTTCTAACTTTGCAATCTGCAAAGAAACAAGAGTGAAATCTGTCAGAGTTCAACCCACCGTTTGATCTTTTTATGGACAGAGGTTATGTAATCACTTCTGCGTGTCTTTCTGTTGAATCAATTATCGTTTTATTTAATTTTTTGTGCCTTTAGTTAAAATTTATTTTTAATTTTAGGGAAAAGCCCCACTACAAGTCGTCCATCAACCACCTCTCCTCCTGCTTCCCGCTACTCTTCCTCATTCACCCCTGCTTCTGGTTCCTCCTCTCCTCCTCCCTTCATGTTGTGGTCTGCTGTTATATCTTTCTGTTTTCTGGTTCTACTGGTTCTACTGGTTCTACTGGTCAGACGATGTATCCAGAGGA